ATGTAGTAGACACCAATGCATGTACTAGTAAAAGGAAAAACACAAAATCTATACTTTAAACAGTAAAATGTAAAGTATGTGCTAAAAAAAATTTTATGTATTCGAACTAAGCTGGAAAAATAAATACGATGGTCAACTACTTTATAAACATGAGGTAAAATTCTTCTTTTTTAGTTTAGTTAGTGCCTTTTAAGTCTATTTATTTATTGGTCCATTCATATATTTCTGCTTTTATTTCTAATCAAGGAGTGGACTTTGGACCAAAACGTCATGGAGGACGGGCGTTGGCAGTTTGTTTCCATTGTTATCTATATGCATTTCAAGGCAGGACACGGAGTTTTTTATTTTTTTCATAAAGAGTTGTAAAAGTGTTTAAAAAATGTAGCTCATGACCTGAGCAGACAGAAAGGTAACCTCATAAATGAATAAGGTAATTTGTTAGGCAAGTGGATCGAGACAAAATAAAAAAAAATACCTCTGAGTAATTTGGCGCAATTCTTGATTTACCTATTGTGTCAACCTAAACATTTACATATTTAAACTGTTTTAATGTTCCATCCAGATACTTGGATTATACGAGGGCGTACGTATGTTTTACCCAGAATCGTGGCTGGTATGTGGAGGTTTGAGTGCCTCCATGATCTTGGGTGTGACCTAAGTTACCCCAGAAGGATTTGGCTAAAGGAGTCAGACTAAAAGTGATGTAARTATCTGGATGATGGACACCTCCCCCCTGTATGGACCACCTATTGCATTTTCAAGTGATGTCAGTGCTGTGCTGCTTTGGTGGGAAGAGAGTTGGAATGATGGGGTGAGCTTTTGTTTTTTCCAGGAAATAAAAACAATTTCAAGTTGAATTATTCAGTGTGTGCAAATGATATGTGCCCTGGTGTGGACTTTAAAACGTTTTGCCATTTTGGTAGAGTCCTCTGCTCCTCTTGTGGTCTACACAGGCCATAATTTATTAATGCTATTTGCATTATCCAAATCACAGACTGATATGATGATTTATGTTACTGTAGTCTTCATTTATTTATTTTTTAAACATTTATCACACTAAAGACACTGGAAACGTTAGTGCTGTGTTTACCCTGTGTTCCTCTATTTTTTTCTTTTACCTTTTTTACCCTTATTTTGATTTAAATGAGCTTTTTGAGGTACTGGATTAAAAAAGGAGAATAGAAGATTCACAGAGAGATATGACAGTATTGGAGTCTGTTCTAAATATTTGGTTAATTTATTAAAGTAGATTTCAATACATTTAATGGGGAGGGTGTGATGACCCTATCACTGAGGGGTTGTCTGCCTTTTGCATTTCTGTTTCAGGTAGAGCAGGTGAACATACGACACACACCTGCTCCTGTCTGTTTCTGTGATGCCTCCGTAGACAGTCTCTGGTCCTGTCTTCYGTTCATTTGAGCGCTACATGTTCACTCATCCACTTTTTTCTTGATTATAGTTATTTTTTAAATTAACTATAGTTTTGACTTAAAGCCACCWCATGTTGTTTCACCTTAAGTTTTTTAAGCCAGACTGTTGTGACATAAAAACATCCACTGGATTTTAAAAAATCTGACTAAGGAAGCACCTCATGCAGAGATTCTTCCACCTGTCTCAGGGGTTGCACATTAACAGTCTTACATACGGTTTTTCAAGGTGTGTCATGGTACAGTCTGAATGTCCCTAAATGTGTGACAGCTTCATGATTGTGCAAACGTTATTGATTTATGAGGRGAACACRTCCATTTAGTGCTGAYGGAAGTTGTGTGTCCAAATCTCCACCTTTATCACAGCAAAGTGTTGTAAGTATATATATATGGATGTAGACAAGTGGTGGCTCCGTGCATTATATCTGTTTGAAAATCGTTGGAGACTGAGCTGCTGGGACTCATCCAGGTAAGATGTTTGTTTCTTTCTTTCCATTTGTTTTTTTCACTTTGGATCATGAGTCTGTCAAGACTGTTTTCTTTGTATTTTTTTTTTCTGCACAGTATCTTCTTTTTGTCTTATTTCATTTTTATAGCCTTGTACAGTAATTTCATTTATTCTATTTTTCATTATTATTATTATGATTATTTGTATTATGTTATTATTGCTACTGTTGATAATGTCACAGCAATATATTGTTTTTGGATTGATGTATCTGGTGCTGTTACACCTAAATTTCCCCCCAGAGGGACATAAAGGCTGTTTCTATTCTATTCTGTTCTATTCTATTCTTAATATTTTTAATCACACTGTGACACTTTAATCTAATCTAAATTACCCAAGACTAAAATAGGAAGAAAAGTCTATTAGATTTTTTTCAGAAGTTCAGACACTTGTTTTTTTCCACAAACTATTTATTTAATGCTATGCACTGAAACACATTTATAAAAATAAATCTAAATTTATTAGATAAACGTATTCAGAAAGAAAAAGTAATTAAATGTATAGGGCYTTGTTTTAATGTAAAACCTTTGGACTAGCACTTTCAAAGCAGTAAGCAGGCCTGCATTTTATTTTTATTTTTAAAATAKCTTTATCCTCATTTACCTGAAGGCTTTTAGGGCTCAAAATACAAAATTAATAAGGTTAACAAACATGTGATCTTGTCTATGCTATTCTCTGTATATTTTTAAATGTTTTTATTTATTTATCTTCATAGGATTGTCCTTTTACTATGAGAAATGGGTGATGATAAACTGATTTTATTCTGATGTTTTTTACATATTCTCTGAAGGGAACATGAGGAAACAACACCCTCTACTTATTGATTTGTATAATAAATAAATTTCTATTTTTGTCTCTGTAGACATTATGGCCTTATTGTTGGGTGTCTCCTTGCTGGCTCTTTCAGGCCCCACTGTGGCCTTTGTCCCAATCGGTGGCAGTGCTTCCACTCACGTCAGCATAACGGGAACAGCTCTCCTGCAGAAAGTTACGGAGACGTGCCGGGCAGTGGCTGAGGCAGCTGGCCACGAGTTCAAACCCACGGTAGGATAGATTAGACAGTAAACGCAGCAATATATTCATTCTACAAACTGAAAAGAAAACAGAAAAACACCTCAAATACAAACACGGACTTACCTATTTTAGGTTTAACATTAAATAAATTAAATGGTGATAATTGTTTTTACAGATATCAAGCAAAGATTTGATGTGGTAGTAGCTGAGAGTCATCAGCAACAAACACTCCAAGTACAAACAGATCACCCAAAATTATTTTAAAACTTGTCATTAATTTTCTCCAGATTTACATCCAAAAAAACAACCATATCTTCACCCTCTGACACGTTTTGTTCATTTACTTTAAGCCACACATTGTAAAACTGATTTTTTTTCTTTTCTTTTCTTTTCTTACTGTTATGACTTTTTGAACTCCAGGGTTCCTCTCCTGCAGAGATTGTTCAGGCCTGTTTAGGTCCCACAGCAACAGGGGATGTTTCTGGTGCCAAGTTCCAATCAGCTCTTCAAGAGATCTACGTCCAGAATGGGCTGGTGGACCGAAACTTTGTCCACAGGTAGAAAAGAAACGTTTAAAACGAACACCTTAAAAGACGTTAAATCAGCTTCGCTAAGTGTGGAAAACCTTCCTCAGTGCTCCACATCACTTTGACTCCGAAGCCTTCTTGGAGGGGCGTGGCCTAATCATGGAGGGCCTGGTGGCAATTAAGGCTAACATTCGAGAGGAGAACTTCAAGGCTGCCAGGGAGACACTRGGGAGAATCCTTCATACATTACAGGTGAGGAGGATGGAATGAGACAATCTGTACAGAAATCAAAAGCAAAACAAGAGACAAGTTGTTACAGATAGTGTAAAAATAAAACTGGCAAGAAAATATTTTTGACACACCCATAAACCAAGGAGAGGTTTAGTTGCTGTTTTAAAACTCTTAGGATTTTTCCATGTCTTAGGTTTAAAAATCTATAAAAACAGACAATAATCCTTTAGAAAATCAGCTAATAAAGAATCTAAAAACAGCTTTTACCTTTTAAGTTTCAACTCTAGGTCAGAGTAAATCTWTCCCAGATAAAATAAAGGATTCTTTGTAACATGCTCAAACTCTAATTTCTACTTTGACCAAAGACCTTTTAGTTCTTTATAAACAGATACTAACATTTTACAACCTGTCAACTGCCTAAAAAGAAAGATGTACTGACATTTAAGGAGAGTCGTTTTCCATAACGTGCACATTTTCATGCATCATTAGGACTTCTACAGTCACAGTAACTGGGTGGAGCTGGGATACACAGAGCCGTATATCAACCTCATCCGGCCAGATCTCCCTCTAGAAAACCTGGCAGGTATGTGCAACTGAATACTGTTGTCTGAAAAGGAGGACGGTATAGTCTGTGGGTTGCGTAGAAAAAAAAAAAAAAGATAATATATTGGCTCTTAGCTGATAATAGAACAGCAGATAATACATTTTGCTCTGAAATACAACCATGGGACTGATTGAAGAGTTTTCATCATTCAACCAGGAGACAAGAGATAAACGAGGAAAACAGAAACATTAAATCGATTGCCATTCTTTTTATGCAGATGTGAACACTGCCACCTGCAGTGACTGTGCCAGTGGAACATGCTCCAATCCCATCCTCCCCAACATCCTGAAGGAGAAGAAACTCACATCAGGCTACATGGGAATCTTCACTTCTGCAAAACCTCAAGGTCTGGTGTCTCATGTCTTTAATCTAACATCACAACAACGCGTGCAGACACACATTGTATTCACAACAYGTTAAAAAGCATGCAGTTTAGTACTTCAGGTGGGGACGTCGCAAGAACTTGTGAGAAAAATTTATCAGCAAGACACATTTAGAATTCCATGTTTATCCATGAGGTACCCATCTAAAGAGTGATGTAACTTTTGGCATAATTATTTACAAAATAATTTATTATGTGAATGATGTTTTACAAACCTGCATACAGAACTTATGAACTCATACTTATTGTATCAAGCTGAAGTTTCGAGTAGATAGCTGTTAGGTTAATGCTAATGTTTGTCCTCTCTGTCCTGCTCTGCGGCAGGTAAGTGCAGTCATGGAGGTGTATCTGATCTCACCAGCACCGTCGTCCCACGAGGAGGCATCAGCAAAGACGAGCGCCGCTCAGACAATGTGGCTCTCCATGAAGCTGCTGTAAAAACAGCCACAGCTGCCAGCCTCCAGCTGTTGGAGGACATCCGCTCAGCTGCAGGAGACAAGGACTTTCTAAGGTACAACAAGAAGATGTTAAAACTTTATACTTATACAGATTTGATAAGAAGTATAAAGTTATTAAAGTTGTTTGTTTTTCTTTCTTACAGGATGATGGGGATTGCTCGCTCAGCTGTGGTGTGCTTTGTGATTGACACCACGGGTAGTATGTCTGATGACATAGAAGAAGCTAGATCAGTTGTATACCAAATCATTGACAGCAAAAAGGGAACACAGGATGAGCCATCCGAGTATATCCTTGTGCCTTTCAATGACCCAGGTATAAAGAAATATATATTACCAGGCCAGTGCTTCATGTTGCTCCACTGRTTTTGTAAAGTTGATGATGCATTTCATTCAAAACACTTTTGGTCACGATTAGTTTTGTTGATAGCTTATTTTTGTGATTGGTTGTAGACTTTGGACCTATGATCAGGACAACTGACCCTGAAAAAATGAAAACCGAAATCTCTAAACTTAAAGCATCAGGTGGTGGAGACATCCCAGAGATGTGCCTGTCAGGACTTCAGGTACTATGATGAACAGCCATATCTTTAAGTTAAATCAGAAATCCTTGGCAGCAATTTGTCAAAATGGTAACATTATGGTTTATGTCCTCTATATCTTTTCAGTTGGCTCTCACTGGCGCTCCTTCCTCATCCCACATTTATGTTTTCACTGATGCTGAAGCTAAAGACATTGCCTTGAAAGACACTATAGTTGCTCTCATCAGGAGCACCAAGTCAACGGTGAAGACAGACTAGAAATGAATCTAAGTGGTTGAAAAAGTTGAGGTTGTAACAACTTCCTCCATAATTTTTCTTCATAGGTTTCATTTTTTATGACTGCCGGCAAGAGAGGTCGTCGTTCTGTCACGTATGCTTCCTTTAATGACTACAGTGACTTAGCTTTGGCATCTGGAGGCCAGGCCATCAAGGTGTCCAAGAACCAGTTGCCTCAGGCGACAGATGTTATCCTTGACACGTCAACTTCYGCCCTGGTAAGACTCTTTTAAACCAGCAAATGTCCTCTTCAGCAGACCTTGGGCAAACAGACTCTTGAAAGAAAAATCCTTGATTTAAATCTTTACATCTTTCCACCAGGTGACCGTCCTTCAGAGAGCAAGAAATACTGGAAGAGAAGAAACTTTCCCCTTCACTTTAGATGAATCACTAAAAAACATCACAATCTACCTCACAGGAACTTCCTTAACTTTTACAATGACCAACCCTGCAGGTAACCTGCCATTCCTAACTAATTGTACATTAATTGAAATGTATGTTGTGCATCTTAACCAATGTTAAACATTACAGGCATAAGCCAGAATCACAATGAGGCCAGTGGTAAACTGGGGACTATTAAGACAGTGGGTAACCTCTGGAGAATTCGTCTCAACTCTGACAAGCAGTCAGGGACCTGGAAAATCAACATCAAAACAGCTCAGCCATACACACTCAAAGTTACAGGTAATTATAGTTTATACACCRAGTTTAATGTCGACCACACCACCGTTCTTCATAAAGTCACAATTTAAATTTCAGTTCTACCTTCTTACCRGAGAAAATATACTCTTATTATTGTTTATAACTGACCAAACAGTGAAAAGCTATGACCTCACATTAAAGTCTACAGTAACTCTGATKTTATGGACACACCTGTCAATTTATTAGCAACCAGCCAACCAAGCTGCCAAGTAGGGATTCATAATTTAATATGACTATTGCTGATGTTCTTCTCAAAAATATGTGCACTACACRTGCATGAGAAATGTTTTAACATACTGTAGATGTACATGTGGTTTCTTGAAACTAATTATCTCTGGATATTGTGTTGTCATTGACTTTTTTGTGAGGATCTAACTCTAATTACTTTTTTTTGCAGGGCAGAGTACAATTACCTTCATTTATGACTTTGTGGAAAGGTTCACAGGACCSCACCCAGGTTATGCTGTAATCAGTGGACGTCCACAATCAGGTAGACTGTCTAGCATAAAAAAGGTTTATAGCTTACCTACTTCAACTGTAATTGCTGTTCCAGATAAACTTTAGTGTTACGACATGAATATGACTACAGAGAATAAAATCTAATGGTTTTATGTTTGAATGAAAAATACATAAACATCACTTCTTATTTGTTTAAAAACCAGGCCAGCCAGCCACATTGATGCTTTCAGTAATTGGCAGAAAAGGTCCGTCTTCGATGTCTGTTGAAGAGGTCGGCTTGGTAATTGTGTCTGGTCCTGAGAATGTGACCAATGGTGTCATCACTGACATGGGCAACGGAGACATCCTGGTCACCGTTGACGCGGTTCCTGAGGGGGAGTTTGTAGTTGTTCTGAATGGGACAGACAAAGTGTCCAATAGCGAATTTCAAAGGCAGTCAACCACCCAGATGTCCGTCTCCAAAGTCAATATTCAGGTTTGTCGTCTCACCTCGTCTTCACGCAATAAAAGAACTGAAACCTTTAGGCTTAGAAGAACAATACTTGACTTCTCACCCATTTGTTTTCTTCCTCTTTTCCAGGCTGTGGTGGGCAGCAGTGTTGTGCCAGGAGAAAACTTTAATTTCCCCTTTAGTGTGATGACCCAAGGAGCTGGTGGTACATACACCATTAATGCCAGGAATGACAGGAACTTTCCCATGACATACCCCTCCAGGTGAAATAAAGCTATTAAAAGTCATTTTATAAGGGGTGGTTCTTAATGTCATTTGACTAAAGGTCTTCTCCCCCACCCTGTAGTAAACGCTAAAAAAAGTAAATGAACTGCATTTATTTGCATTACTCATCTGTTTCCTGTTGCTTGTGGCTAAGTTACAACACATATGTTGTAAAAGCACCTGCTAAAGGTGTTGCTGCATCTCACTGGGCTGTGAATACTGCATCTATTTTTTTGCAACTTTGAGTCTAAAAAGTATAAAGTCTCCAACTATCAGCTTAGTGAGTTAAGCTCACATCTGACTCATGTTGAAGATTTTCAAAGGTGGTAAGTGTAATTCTAAAAATGCCTTTTCCYGTCCCTTAGGCTCACGCTGACGACTGGACGATATGCTAACGCTACGCTGACTATTACAGCACCTGTCAACACAGAATCAGGCACCGACGTCACTCTGACTATTGAAGCCAAGTCRTCCAGCGGTGCTGACTCCAATTACGCTGTTCTGAGATTGTCTGTGGTCACCAAGGTACCAGTTTGYTTATTTACATGTTTTTGGTAACAATAAAATTATAGGCACCACTGTTACTGTGAACTCTAAAGCAAACCTTTTCCATTTAAATGTCAAAAAAAAAAAAGGAACAGGGCCCAAAAAATAAAGTTTCAATTAATGCAAGAAATAAATGTCTTARCCAAGGTCTTTAGAAGTAGGGACGTGGAGAGTGCTGCAACACCCCCTCATGGATGTCAGAAGACATGCAGTAGGTCAAAAACTAATAAAAACAATTTCATTGGTGCACATTTAATCACAGTAATGTGTCGATATTATTGAGCTTTGTTCATCAGGCATAAACTTTGCTGAAATATAGTCAAATTAACTTTAGAGAATAATTACAATTTTAGGTTTGTCCAAAATATTTAGCAGTTTTAATATTCATATTCAGATAAGATGAGAACTGCCAGTGTGGATTTCATCACATACATTTTGAGTTATGAAATTTGGAATATGGCTGATAAAATATGTTGTAATCTGAAGACTAAACTGATGGCAGTCAAGCAAAAAATATCAGTTTGTCATAAATATAAAAAATATATTTTTAAGTATTTTTGAAGAAGCTGAAACTTTTGTAAGGGATTTGAACATTTCTGTACGAGACCTAAAGATAATTTACAATCTACATTTTGTTTTTGGTAATGAAATKTAAATGGTTTGAACTTATATAGCACCTTATCAAATCACTTGGACCCCAAGGCGCTTTACACTTCAGACCTTCACCCTTGCACATACACATTCACACACTGATGGTGGTAAGCTGCCCTGGGGCGCACTGACAGMGGTGGGGCTGCCATGCACYGGCRCCACTGGACCCTCTGACCACCATCAGTAGCAGGTGAAGTGTCTTGCCCAAGGATACAATGACCGAGACGGCTGGAACGAGGGGTCGAACCGGTGACAGGACGACTTCCCTAAMCACTCTGCCACCGCTGCCCCAATGAAAGTTTAAGAAAGGTTTAACAAAATAAAACTTGCAGTCATTATTATTAAACTTTAGGGAGAACAGTTTTAGTCTATTGRGTTTATTCTGTGAAATCTAGAGTAAAATGTTTCATTGATCCTGTAAGGAAGTTTTGAAGTGACTTTATTTTACAAATCATAACAGGATAAAACATAGTTTGGGTTTCTAAAATTGTGCTGATTATATATATTAGAGAAGATTGCTTGAATATTTCTGATCTCCTGAAGGACYACTGAGAATTAGTGAGAACACCAAATCCCCTTTCTCTGACATTTTAAATAATTTCATCTTCTACTCACTTCACAGTTTACAGAGCCAGACAATCTTCCCTGTTGTAATTCGTTTTTAAACCTAACCACACAATGTTTACATGTGTATTTTTGATCTAAAGTGTCAAACCCATGTCTTTTCTTTCCTTTGTCCAGATCACAGACTTCTATCAGCCCCAGTGTGAAGTGTTTGGAGTGCTGGCTGATGACTGCCCTAAAGATTTGTCCCAGTGTGGATCTTTCCACTGGGAGCTCTCAGCTAACCTGACTGATGGAAACGGCACTGGGATAGAGAGCATTTCTCTACGTCAGGGCAACGGGACCCTTTCACACCCATCACTGCCGGCTTCCTTCATCCAAGCAAGCTACAATGCTTCTTGCTGCTCACAGATCGTTGAGTTTATAGCTGTGGATAAAGTTGGAAATGTGGGCAAATGTTATCATGCAATTGTTCCTTCAGGAGGTTCTGTTGCTCTGAGTCTGTCACTGCCTCTGTGGCTCTGCCTGCTGGTGTCAGCTTTAGTAGGAAGACCTTGAGAGTTTAGTTTGTTGGCAATGAACGACTTCTTGTCTAAATTTAAGCTCTTTTAAAATTCTTTAGACGGTGGTTATACACTTTGCTTCTTTTTAAATAAAACGTGTAACTTTATTCATGTTTCTGACTATTTGTTACTGACTATTTGTTACGTACGTATAGCTGGAAAGACTCAAAGGGAAACTGGATGGTACCTTGGCTTGAACATTTCTGTATAAGCCACAACTCTTCAGCTTGTTTATTCTTTGTTGGGCCTATAGACTTGAATAACCCTAGACTGAGCTCTGCCTATCCCGTCCACTGCATGACATGGAGGAGTAAAACCAGAGACCAAACAGGGCAACGGCTCACAGTCGCCATACCAACTATTAAATAAACAACAAATGCAACTGGATCTGTTCATTATCTGTAATAACGATGTTAATTTCATTAAACAAACCTGTAAAACATCAGTGCCGTTTCAGAAAGCAGGCTTTACAAACCCTGGGTTAACACATRTACYCTGAATCAACTTACCCCGCTCTGTGATAGTCAGGATTTTCAGTTTCAGAACAGGTGATATCAACTGAGTAACTTAATTCTGAGTCAAGTTAACCCTGAGTTAAGTTGGAGCATGAAGCCCTCATCAATGGAAGTCAGATAACATGATTAACGTGATTTTCATTTCTCGTGCTGAAACTAAAAATATTAATGACGGCATATGGAGAATATTAATATATAAAAAAAAAACTAAAAAGGCAATACTGTTGCTGCTGCAGAGAAAGAGTTCGTGGGGCAGAGAATTGCTGATCAATGTGTGATTATGATTTTACATAAATCTAAACTTTTATTCTTTATATTTATTTTTACTTTTGYTCTTTATTCAAGTGGATAAAAGAGTGCGTGTGTAGGTGAACCCAGCTCGTACTAAACAGACATGGCAGAAAATAAAGATGAAATATGATAACGGTAAAATCAGGTGAGCTCAGGTATAAGCTCTTATTTTCAACCTTTAACAAATAAATGACATAATTCACTGCTTCAACACAAAATTATTGCCCCCCCCCCCCGCTTTTTTTTGCCAATATTTAATATAAGTTTATTTTACTTTTCATTGTGAAACAGAATGATTGTTAAATTTTCACAAAAAGAGACGTGATGGACGATCAGCTGAAGAGGCTCCAGCTACCTCTGGAGCTCAACTTTCTTCTGTAATTTTTTTTATTTTCAGCCGTTTCATTTTAAAAAAATTGAATAAATTCTATATACAATAAAATTAAAATATATACTTCTGTAAGAATTTAAACCTTTGATCATAACTTCATTAAAGAKTAGAAATGTAAATGAAATTTGATCATTTTTCTGTCCCTAAAGCTTCCACTTTCCACTGCTTTCTGAAACGGGGCTGATACAGTATATACCAGAAAAATTTATTATTTATAAGTAATATGATCTAAACAGACCTGAAGTCAGTCAGTAACTTAAGACTTTTTAGCAAGTTGAAACATTATGACTTCAATGACTAATATTTGCTGTTTATTACCAGTCATATATAATAAATATTTACCAGTTAACACTTAGGAAATATTCTCAGTATACCTGGTTATAGGATGAAATTTGTGTACAGACACTGGTTAACCATCTTCTCAACAGGTCAGGTTCCTCTAACAGAAACTTAAATATGTTTACATTTATATTATTTTACACTCTGTAGGTCTAAATCAGAGGGCAAATCAGCTATATTATGTTAAATTTTAGCATGATTCAGCAGAGTGCTAGTCTCTGTATAACAAGTTAATATCTGCAAAACAATTCAATAAATAACAGTGATTACATCAATTTTATAAGCTTATTTTAATTTTAAACCGTTACATTATGTTTTGGTCAGATCACATTGAGCCAAATAAGGTCAAATCTGCTTATTTGTGAAATGAGACATTTTCCTGCTTCTCTTTTGTTGGTAAAATCCATAACATAAACAACTTTCTGGCATTAAATCATTAGATTATATAAACTGTAAAATATTAATAATTTTGTAATAGTTTTTAAATTTTCTAAATCATTTTTTCCACTGTAGCCACAATGTACAGTAATGATAAATCCAGACTCTTGCCTGTTGTTTAGCTTCTACAGTAGATCACGTGGTTTTCACGCTCACCAGTAGTTTGGTTAGGTCACATGTGACCACATGATGATCAGGTAAAAGATTGAAACAAGTGATCTCAGTAAAAGTGGTGTAACGATGTTTGTTATAAACGATCAGAAAGCTCACAATTCAAGTTTCTAAGTCTGCCTCACCAATGAAACCTTATTCAGCCAGACTTCAGATTAGAATGCAAATTGCTTGCCATGAAAATAAATGTTTTTTTAAACTCCTGCACCAATTTCAAAAGGATGGCAAGGATAGGTAGGATAAATGACAACTAAATGAATTATTTACCTTCAATATAATCAGCTTCCTGGTACTGAAAACCCAGTTTAATTAATAAATAGCAAAACAGGTGCAGCACTGTTTCTAAAACGGTTTCATTTATTGTTCATTTCTGCAAACAAAATAGACATCTGGTTTTCACAGATTAAATCACACAAATATTTACTAAAACTTCATKAAGTTTTAAACTCAGTTTGAATTGTTCCAACACATTTTTGTATAATATTTACTCCTATACTAGCAATAAAGAAAAAAAATAGGGATCAACTAAATCAAACTACTATTTGTTTAAACAATTTTAGAAACAGATGTCAGATTAACTGTCAGTATGATACACGTTTAGTCTTTCATTCAAAACAGTTAAAGCAGAGTCAAGTGCTTCATTACCTATAAAACAGCACATACAAAATTATTGAACACAATAGAAATCGCAATTGTAAATTTGTACAAATAAAGTTATTCAAAATTTACAACAGTTCAGGTGTAAAAATCTTACATACTGTCTGGCATGGATCCATTTTTTAAAGTCTTAAAAACCTGAAGGTGATTCATTATAACTAGCAATAACTCTTGGCTGTAGTACAACAGCAAAACAAAGCTTTGTATACAAATTACAATATATATAACATTTTTGTAAATAGTTCACCATAAAACGAAGATTTTAAACACGACAATAAAATGTTCATTTACATTTCCTTTTCATACTGTAAACAACGTTTCATCCACAATCCAATGGGAAAATATTTCTTTTAGACAGGTATGAATTAAACGTCTAAATGACCTCGTCTGTCTTGTATTGTGAGCACATTTGAAAATATTTTGCTGATATTGTTTTGGATGAGTTGTCAAAGTAATATTTGAAGAACAAAAAATGTCTGAAAGCTCCAACATGCAGCTGTGGGCACGTTAAATTGTCTTGCAGGTGCACAACACAAACTTTGAGCTCACCTTAAAATATTTTCAGTTAGATTCTTCAACATGCCAACTATGTACAAAAAGTATTCTAATGTGTATTCAAGCACAGTTCCACACATCCTGCAAAACTGCTTGCTACTAACGAGTTAGGAGAAAGCACTCGGGACAATTATTTTTCTTCTGTAAATATCAACTCTTTTAGTTGAAAAAAAAAAAAAAAAGCCTCATCCTTTTTAAGTTGCAGCTCTTTTCCTCACTATGTAAAACTCACAAAAACAAAAACAAAACAAAACAAAAAAACTTAAATAGAAGACTCAATTATAATGCAAAAAAAAAAAAAACTCACAAAATCATAAGGAGCTGAATATCACTATGCAGCAACCTATAAATTATTTACAAACTGAGGTGGTCAGCAGAGGTAAGATGTACAATTAGAAAATGAGTTAAACTTCCTTATAAAGAATCACAATATGTGACCCTGTCCTATAATTACATTTTTGTGACATTCTTTAAACATTCTGTATTCAACTAAAGTTTTGTTTTTGCAGTTTTTYAGTTCAGCACAGCATCGTACTGAATGTACTATATGTTTCCGTCCTTATGCACACTTTCAAGGTGCTTTTTCAGGTGGCCAGTCTGAGTGAAATCCTTGGGGCAAAATGGGCAGGTAAAAGGCCTTTCCCCCGTGTGAATATACTTGTGCCTTTTCATGTTATTGGCATCTAAAAATCCTTTCCCGCAGTATGAGCACCAGTGTCGCTTCTCTCCATTATGCCACCTTAAGTGCACGTTTAGTTCTACTTTCCTGGTGAATCTCCTTTCACAGATGTCACACTGAAATGGTTTCTCCCCAGTGTGGATCCGGAAGTGGATTTCCACATCTCGTTTATTGAAGAACCCCTTGTTGCATACCTGGCATGTGAAAGGTTTTATCCTGCCGTGGACCATCTGGACATGCTTGGAAAGTCCAAAACGGTAGACAAATCCTTTCCCACAAGTTTCGCAGATGTGGATTTTACCGTTGCGATGCACTCGATCATGGCGTTTAAAGGTAACTGCGTCTGGGAAATATTTTGCACAGAGTTTGCAGGTGAAAGGCCGGTTAAGATTATGGAGACTGACATGGCTCTCCAAAGCATTGCTACTATTGAAAACTCGACCACATTCCCCACACTGATGCCTCAGAAGATGCCTACCAATGAAAGACAATGGCTGTAGGGGTGATACAATGGGTTCTGGGTGTAAAGGTATTACAGGTACTCTGTACTCTACCTTTAAGCGTGGTGCCTTTATTATCTCTGTAGAAGGTACTTCATCAGGTGGTAACGTGGGAGGGTACCATATCTTAGCAATACATTTTTTCACAACCCAATTGTTATTTCTTTTCAGTTTTTCAGAGTTATAGCTTTTAGTTTTATATTTCCCCCTAGGTTTTCTTTTTTGGGGTAATTTTGCCGTTTTCGTACTTTGACATCCTTTAACCAGTTTGGCTTTCTTTTCAGGTGTCAACCTTTGGGTCCCTTCAGGGCTGGTAGTGTTTTTTGCCTTTTTATGATCTTTGGATAGTGGGAAAGTTTTGCTCTTATTTTTTTCACTAGCATTGACCTTACTTATACTGCATCTCCCTGGACTGAAAAAACTGGATTCCCTTTTATTCAGTTTGGTACAGGGACTGACTTTAACGGAAGTGGAGCAACTAGGAGAACCAGACTCTGTAAGACTTGTGTTGCCTTCTTTTACAATAGTTGTGCTTTCAGGGCTGGCACCTGCTGTCATTGAAATTTTGGGGCTTATAGAACTGGATTTTGTCTTTTTTGARGGGGAACCAATATCTGCATCTGAACATAGCCTTTTAAAACTCTCGGCAGTACAAGCACTGGCAGAATCAAACTTCCTTAAACTGACAAAAACCCTTTCACAAACAATTTTTGTAGGTGAATCATCAACTTTACAATGTCCTGATCTTGTAGTAGTGGTAACTGTATGTAAAGAAGTAGCATCATCAGACACATCTAGTTTTCTAGAACTGACAGGTTCTTTTGCCGTTTTATTAACATTTAAATTGTCACTATCCAAACGTGGTTTCTTTAAGGTTTTGACACAGTTCTCAGTTTGGTTGTCTGTTACTTGTTCTGTTGCAATTCTTCTAGCTTTCATCAGAGGTTTCAGGTGGCTTCGCAGACGAGACACAATGGAGTATTTGTGTTTGTCAATGGTTCTGGTCTTGCTGGCATCCAAACTTTCATTAGAGCTGGACTGTAACAAGATGGAAAACATTTTAAATAAATTTACAATGCTATAAAAACACACAAACACAATGCAACACTGAAATTATTTAAACTACCTTTTTCTGCAATGTTACAGACAGTCGTTCCAGGAATTCAGCTTTACTTATCCGCAAGCGAGGGTCAGATGTGTCAACTGGATTTAAAGCTGGCAGCACAAGACCCGCTTTTTGGTCCTCTTCACCTTCACTGAGGATTTTATCCTTAGCCAGATCAGCAGTTTGTTGGTTATAGGTCAAAGGTTCACATGGGAGCGCTGTGATTTTGCTGGCTACTGCCTGTGACCCTTGAGCAGCTTTTAWATCAGATAAAACTGAAGGTGAGATTGATGGCTTTGATTGCTTCTCCGAAATAAAAGAAAACCCTTTAGCTTGTAGTGAAGAAACTGAGAATGATTTTTTGGTTGATACTGGAAATGGGAGTCTGGTTAATCTGACCACTGCACAGAACTTCTGCTCAGTGGTTGATGGTAATATTGAAGACACTAATGTCTGTACTTCCTTAACTGACATTTCTGTACTCGAGCTGATGTCTTTAAGAGGATTAAATGGTTCAAAAGCAGCAGCAGATTGATTAGAATACGTAGGTCCACTAGTTCTATTGTTTTTTTTGGGCAATAAGGTTGTATCTGCAGCAGGTAAACTTGGCTCCTGTGACATGACATTTAATTGCGTCGTTGATAGAGAAACATGAGCATCTGGTTCAGGGGAGTCTATGTGAGCTTCAGGTTCTATGTGAGCTTCAGTTTTAGGGGAGTCCATGTCAGCTTCGGGTTCAGGGGTGTCGACGTGAGCTTCGGGTTCATGGGTGTCGACGTGAGCTTCGGGTTCATGGGTGTCGACGTGAGCTTCGGGTTCATGGGTGTCGACGTGA